ATTTCTCTATCCATATTGAAACTGGTTTGTTTGCTTTTGCTCCAGTATTTTTAATGCAAAAAAAGAGGTACTATAAGTGACCTATCATGTCTAGAAAATACTATTGTGCTCTGCTCCTCACTGACCTCTGCTTCTTATGATTTTCTGCTTCCCTACTGGTAATTTTCTTGGGGACTTAGCAAAAAGCACTGGAATATTAAGTTTATAATAACCTCTTCATAAACAATTATTTTTTGTACTTTTGACAGTTCTGAGTTTCTTTGCCTACTGCTGTCCACTTCAGAAGGATTCTCTATGATGAGTTGGAACTAACATTCTCTTAGCATATAGATTTTAGAGCAAATTTTCATTATATACATTCAGTAAAGTAACAAAAGTAGTGTCTTGGGGAACCAAGAACTATGTTAGTAAGTTATTATTTTGAAGATGTCTCTAAGACGCCTCTATTTTACCAAATTCTTAGGAATTTATTAAATAGTGACCCTACTCTTTTTTTGGTAGTGCATATCTTTTAAGAAGAAAACTATCAGCGAAAAATGTAGAGCTCAATAAGAATTAATAAAAATATAAATAAATTTCTAGAAAAAAAAGAGGGAAACTATCCAGCACTACTAAGGGTGATTCAGATTAAATTCACCCACACCCACACCCACCTATACACATACACACACCAAATCATCCCCTATATATATATAATCTATTATTAATTATATATATATTTAATATGTTATATATATTATATATATATAATTAATAATAGATTTTCAAAGTTATATTTTAGCATCATCATGATAAGTATAACCTGATTTCCTTATGTTCCCAGTAAGCAGAGTAAGGCCCAGCCAAAGTAACTTTCTTTGAAGCACAACAATAGTATATTTCATAATTATGGTGCCAAAGTATAAACAAGATAATGAGGAAAGTACACAATAGAACGTATTACTTTCTGCGAAGGCCAGCAAGCAAATGATCAAATACCGAACAACACATTCAAAAACTGCTCTCAGATATGTGTATCTCTTTGTAAACCTAACATTTCAAAGCAGGTATATGGATCCTACAAGCCCTCTGGTCATCTAAAAACTGTAATGGAATAATCTTTTCAGATCATGACTTCAAATCATCAGGTTGAAAAAAATAGTGCAAAACAATAGAGTAGTGATTCTTGGGCTTTTTTTAAAATACAGTTCCTCATGTTGTGGTGATTCCCTGCAACAAAATTATTTTTTTCATATTTCTTAATTGAAATTTTGCTGTGGTTATGAAAAATAATGTAAATATCTGTGTTTTCTGATACTCTTAGCTGACCTTCATAAAAATGCCATTTAATACTCAAAGGGTATTAAACCAACAGGTTAACAATCATTGCAATAGAGCAGTGTTCTTGTTACTCAGTAGTGTAGTTAGAGTCTTTTTCTTCATTTAAAAATTTTATATATTTTTATTCATTGATGTTTCAAGTTTTTATATTATTTTATACTGGTAAGGAATTCTTTCCTTTTGCATAATTACTCTTTACTTCATTCTAGCTGTGCCAATATGAACAATTAAATTATAATAGTAAATATGGTATTTCGATATTTTTTCTAATACAATTTAATACAAATAGAAAGAAAATGGATTTGTTGAATCTCATGTAGCAACTTCTATTAAGTAAAAACACCTGAAATTATAAATTAGTTATTCAATAAATGCTTGTCTCTAAAACTAGAAAATCTTCATATCACAAAATTAGCACAATCACATGGCATGATTATAATAAATGCACAACATTATGTGGGGTTTTGTCTATTATGTAGAGTTTTGTATTTATGAATTAGATGTGGACCAGCAAGATCCCTTGCTGAATAATGGTTCTTCCCAAACAAGCTCAGTAAAAGAAACATCAAACCAAGAACCTGAATTAAAGAAGGTAGAATCATCTCTACATGTTGTCCTTTGACTGCTACATGAATGCTGTGGCAAGTGCGAATTCCACCTCCAACACTACACACACATACTCATTCATGATAATAAAATAAGAAAGATGTTACATGCGGTGGAAGGGATTAATTGCTTAAAAATAGAAAATAAGACTAAATAGAAAATATTATTGAATTAATGAGTGAATATAATGTGTTGAAATTTCTTGGATACTAGGCAAGCTTATATTTTCAGGATATTTACAAAGATGAGGCTGAGTTGGGATACTATAAAATTTTGTTTTACATGCTGTGATATATACTATGACCAAAAATAAGCTTAGCAAGAAAGGTTCTATTTCATCTTACAGTTTATAGTGTATCATGGTGGGAAGTCAGGGAAGGGATTTAAAACAGGAACCTGGAGGCAGGAGCTGAGCAAAGAATGTGAATGAATGCCTCTGACTGGCTTGACCTCCATGATTGCTCAGCCTACTTTCTCATAAAACCCACACCATATCCTCGAAGGCCTTAATGCCCACAGTGGGCTTGGCTCTAATATCAAATATTAATAAAGAAAAATCACAGAGATGCATAAATATTAAGATAATGGATGTCTTTTCTCAATTGAAGTTCTCTTTCCCCAGTTTGCTGGAGTGCATAAAAGTTGATGAAAAGAGAACTACCAAAGCTCCCCTATGCCTACTTGTCTTCAATTATGAAATTAAAATATGATCACTAAGCTTAGTTTATAACTCACAAGCTCACTTGCACTTGTTACTACGTCTGAACATGTTTTAGATTGTAACGATTGAGCTAATTATTTGAAATCAACAAGGAAAACATATTTACATAGGAAAGAACTTCTAAAGTACCACCCCTAGCTGAGGAGCTCTTTACTGCTTCAAGAGTAGAATAAGTTTTCTTTGTAGGTAGCTTTTGCCAAGTTGTTCATTTCACAGTTAATGATCCTACACTAGAAAATAACAGAATGAATATGTGACAGATACTTTACATATGTGTTTGCAATTTTAAAACAGTTAAAAAGGATAAATCCTCAAAAATTTAAATTCAAGTAAGAAATATCCTCAGACAGAATGCACTAATCTAATGAGTACAACTTTAGCCCAATACCACATATAAGGTGAATGAAGCCTATGCCCTGGCATGTATGGGCAGCCCATATATGGTGGTAATTTTGTACTTGTCTGTATTGGGTTTCATGGTCTTAGTTAATGAGGACAACTTACCAGACCTCTTCCTCTAGAGGGCACCAAATCTCATTACAGATTTAATGAGACCATGTTTTTCCTAGAATCACAAATGCACTAATTCTATGCACAAGTTTCTGACTTGTTCTAAGTAATCATAAGTTTTGGAATTGTACTCATGTTTCTCAGATGATTTTCAAAGTGAGAGTCTAAGGTTTTGCATTGTAGTTTCCTCTACATTGAAACTTTTCTTCCATGTGGGATAGGAAGACTATTGAGACTGTGGTAGGAAACAAATTTCCCATGTCTGGAAATCCTTATGATTTTAGGATTCAGAATATACTTACCAATGTTATTAATGCAGAAAAAAGCTGCGTGGAGCAAAAGGCCATGCCAAGCCTATGCTCAGGGCTGTGGAACTTCTTGGTAATAATGTAAAAATTTGGGTTGTGACTTTCATAATGTTTTAATGTTGCAACCGCTTTTGAGTATAAGTCACTTGTGCCGATAAGAAGCTCCTCAACCATACTTCAGTTAGTGACTACAATAGAAATTTATTAGATCACCAAATTGGTCCAATAATAACTTTTATCTGCCCTTTCTAGTTGACTCTGTGTGTGTGTGTGTGTGTGAGTGTGTGTGTGTGTGTGTGTGTGTTGCATCTACCTAGGAAAAGCTTCTCACAATATAATTTGTGTGCATATTATACCTATACTATTTTCACTCATATTAATAGTTTCCAGCTTCCTTCCATATCTTAAGAATTGCCATTGTCCATTAATTTATGTGTGCAGGGATTATTATTTTATGCTTATTTAGATTTTCTGTTAATATTATTACTGCTACTAACATTAATTTTCTATAATTTTGAATAAAGAATGAGCTTTGGAAAATAACATTCACTATGTTCTCACATGCCTCATAAGGAAGACAAAATTCTATCAATACCTTAGATCAAAGGAAGTAGGATTTTGAAAAATATATCTAGTAGGTGAGAATAATTAACATTAACTAAACTAAGGCATTCCTAAAACTTACACATTTGTGCTTCTTCTTCCTCCAGTGAGATATGTTCACAAAAGGTCTACAGAAAAATATTTCAAATGCATTTATAAATGTAATAAACTTGATAAATGTTTATAATTGAAGTATATTTGTTATAGTATATCAATAGGTAAAGCTCTGAAATATATATATACATATATATACACAAAACCCCAAAATCATATATAAATATAATATGATATGATGCTCATTACATAAATTACCAATATGCATTTTTACTAAAAATGAAAATTTTATGTGCTTAGCACACAAAAATATTTCTATAGTTTAATAAAAGTTTAATTAATTAAGTCTCTTTAAGCTTATTTAATGTCAAATTAAATACATGTTTATTTTATGACATGACATTAATATAATAAGAGAATTTATGGAAGAACTTAAATCAGAAAATATATCTAGGTTGAAAATAATAATACATCAAACAAAATAGATATATTGCTCATAAACATGAGAGAGAAAATACACTCAGCTCTGCTTAACCAGCAAAAAAGACTATCAAAAGTTTAGCCAAAACAAGGGTGGCTATGTACTTTTTAAATTACATATAAATATACACACATATGTGTATCTATATATACATATATGCATAAAACATGCAAATACAACATATATGTGTATTAATATGTGTATATTATATGTATATGTATATACATGCACACAAATGCATTCCTACTAAAGCTAATGCTACAATTATATCTTAATTGAGAAATGAGACTATCCTTGATCATGAAAAACCATTATCTTTGAAATTTAATTTTTAATGAGGAAGAGAGTTAGTTCTTCACAGAAGTTGTACAGGTTTATAAAATGGAACATGGTCTATTAATATGAGAGATACATAGAGCAAAATCCTAGGCTCATACTGATGAACTACTAATTCCAATATTGAAATTTCAGTATCTATAAGTCATTCTTTGTCCTCTATCTTCATAACACCATATTTCATATTGTAAAATAACAATAGAATATAAGACCACCAAGATAATATAGATTATGCCATTCCTGTGAAAGATACTTGCTTACATAATTAATATACAGTAGATTTTTCCAAGGTCAGATGAATAAGGATATAGACATATTGATATAGACACAACAATCAATTTTTGTCATTTAATAGACTCAAAGAAATTTTATTCTTTGAGTGAAGAAAATATTCTCAGTTTCTGTCTGGGAATCATGTACTGATCTGTCACTTGATTATTGCCAAGCCATTGACTGATTCTAAGAATAACCACATCACATAAAGTGTGCCATCCTAAAGATGAGCATTCTCAAGGCCTCCTTTATGTCCCTGTTCCTCAGACTGTAGATAAATGGGTTCAGCATCTGAGTGACTGTGGAATACATTACTGAAGCCACTGCTGTCTTCCTGGGAGATTCTGTAACTGCAGAGCTAATATACACTCCTAAACCTGACCCATAAAACAAGGAAACAACTGACAGGTGCGACCCACAAGTGGAAAAAGCTTTATACCGTCCTTGCACGGATGGGATTTTGAAAACAGATGAGACAATTTCAATATAAGACAGAAAAATTCCTAAGAAAGGAATACCGCCAAATAGGATAGCTGCAATATAAATCAAAATCTTATTGATAAGCGTGTCAGAGCATGCAAGCTTTATGATCTGAGCAAGTTCACAGAAGAAGTGGGGGATTTCCAAGTCTGTGTAGAAAGTCAGGCGCAGCACCATGAGACTAAGCAGTAGAGCATTCACAACACTAATGACTAGTGAAACTAGAATGAGTAGCATACAGAAATGTGGATTCATGATAACTGTGTACCTTAGAGGGTGGCAAATCGCCACATAGCGATCATAGGCCATTGCTGCAAGCAAACAATTTTCTAATCCAGCAAAAATTAAGACGAAGCAAGCCTGAGTGAGGCAGTCTGTGTATGATATCCTCTGATCCTGTGCTTGGATGTTCCAAAGCATCTTCGGTACTGTGGCTGAGCTTATACAGGTGTCAGCCAAGGATAGGTGGGAGAGTAAAACATACATGGGTGTATGGAGATGGAAATCTGAACTGATGGTCAGGGTAATGAGTAAGTTCCCAAGAAATGTGACCAGGTACATAAACAGGAATAGTCCAAAGAGAATGGGTTGTAACTCTGGATCATCGGAAAGGCCCAAGAGCAGAAATTCTATTGTAGCTGTTTGATTCATGGATTCCATGTTGTTTAGAAGACTAATGAGGAAAAAACAGACATTAAGACATAAATATTTTTTCCAAAGATATTTCATTACAGAAAAATTTCACCTTCTAAAGTAATTCTCAATTATTTTCTCTTTTCTTGCTTTCCTGTAATAATGTCCATTTTGGTTTTTCTGCTCTGTTCTTTTGACTACATTAAACTGATTGAATTATTTCTCTTTTTCTTCATTTAAACACTAAGTATTAATAACGTAGAATACTGTGTCTGACTAAAATTCCTCCAAATTCTGAATTCAACTAAAAAAATCAAACAAAATGATTTGTAGCATATATAAATACCATATCAAGTGATATTTTAAAAATTGGCATACTTCATTTTAATTTTGCCTCATTATTTTCTTAATATAAAATCACTATCTAAGATATTTTGTGTCTTAATATATATCACTGTGACATATCATCCGTCCTTAAGCAAGTATTGCAAGGATATTCCAAAACAGAGTTTTATATATGAGGCACCTATATTATAATTTGTAATTTATTAATGCCATGGAACTGTTCATAATAGGATGGAAATAATGGTTGAAATGAAATAAAGATAGAGAAGTCTTGATTTAATAATCTCAAATTCAAGTGTAGATTCACAGACCTTTGAACTTTGTGTGTATAGAAGACCAAAAACTTAACAATATAGATGAACAATATTATCACTTCTCACATATATTTAATGAAATATATAGCAATAAATTAACATAACCTACAATTAGCTACAAGATTTACCAATCTGAGGCTGATGAGTGGGGTCAGCAGGTAAAGGTGCTTGCTATAAAGATTGACATCCATAGTTTTAAATCCTTCTACATGGTCTAAAGAGTGAGTCAACACCCAAAAGATATCCTTTAACCTCCACATGCACACCATGACAAGGTTATAACTACATTCATACACAGACGTTCATACATGCACACACTCACAAACAAGAATAACTAATATTTTTTTAAAAAGAATAACCAAACTGACTAGAGAAAAATAATTTAAATAAAATTTACAAAATATTTTGATAACCATTAAACATACCAAATAATTATAAATTTGTGGTAAACATGCTATGCATCATGATTAAAATAGTTTTATTATCATCTATCACTAACCAATAAATTATATTACTATATAATATTTGACCTTGCTAAAACAATACTTATGTACATCTTTAATAGTATGAAGAATGTACATGTTCCCTTCCCAAACAGAAAAATGAAACAGAAGTTGGTACTCATTAATCTCCTGAGTCTTTAATATATTTATATTCAGTAACTTAACCCATACATTTATGTGTAAGTGTGTATGATTTTATATAGAACTACATATAAATTAATAATATGACATGATGCTAAATTAATGTAATTAAATTGTTTCATGTGGTATTCTATGTTGTGCATTTTCAAAATCATAGAACAATATTTAAAAACACAAGTAAGAGTATTACCTAAGTATCAGCTTTAATATGCTCACTATTGTCAATACACATACACAAAAAAGTCAAAAAAGAACTGTTCTGCAAATAGATGCTTTATAATAGTGAGTCAAATATTATCTAAGCTACATAAACACTATTGCATTTTTTTTGCTTTGTCCAATACACTATAAAATGATTGAGAATTATATAACACTCTTTTTTAAAACAACCAAGAGTAGACTGTACTTTAGAATGGTGTTAAGACCAGGGTAAGATATTAGCAAAATGAAAATTTCTCAAATAAATGTACATTGCAGAGCATAAATGGAGTTTTCAAGTTACCTGGGCACTAGCATAAAGGAATGATATACAGTTCTTCTTGGACTTACAAACGCAATAAGAGGAATTGTTCTTTCTGTGAAAACAGAACTTCAAGAGGGCACTTTTCCTTCTTTGCAGAAATAAATGATTCTCAAAGCAAATGTTGGTGTAGTGCATACTTAAATGGGAAAGACAGTCAAATAATGATTACAGGTTGATTAAGTGTGGTGTCGGTGGCCCATGGGACTTTGCTTTACAAAAATCCCAATTAAGTGGAGCCCAATTGACTCTCAGATGGCTACAGGACAGCACAGGTCCTTACAGACATAATATCTGTAAGAAAGAAAATTTCTTTGCTTATTCACACACAAAAAGAGGACCTTACCTTTCCATCATCTGATATTTTTTTACCATAGTTATGGAGAGTATCTTGCATATCTTACCCTATCTTTATCTTATCATTCGAGGAAAGTTTTTTCCACTCTATCCTAAACATCAATGTGGAAAGCTGTGGTAGTATTATTAAGACTATAAGTTTGGAAGGAGGAATAGGAAGATGAATAATTATAATCACAAAATGTGAATGAAATAGTTAAAATATATCTTTTCACGTATGACTTACTAAAATAAATTTAAAAGAAAGTATTGAATACACAAATTAGAGGGTAAAATACAGTCTAATAATACACATAAACTGTGACAAATTAATTTGTGCCATCTATGTTACATTCAAAAATTTCTAAAGTATAATGAATAATCAAATGAAAATGGGCACTTTCTTCTTTGTATCTGATTTATCAGTGATTACTCAGGTTAAAAATCAATGTATAGTTATACTGTAACATTCAATATTCTTCAACTGTAAAATAATAAGCTAGCAAATATGGGGGGTCAGATAATATCTGTGTGTGTGTAAGTCCATAAACACCATAAGTAAAGGTTCAAAAAATTAAAAGTAGCACCTTTGTCAAGGAAGCAAGCAGTGAGTGCTAATTACAAGTCTTATCCTTTCCCTCTATTCCCATAATTTTCATTCCCTAATCTCATCAGTAGCTGTGCAGCAGAACACTTACAGCAGCTCCTCCACATTCCATCCCTCATAGATGACACAGATCTACCCCTCTCCAAATCTTTTCCCCACTCAAAGCTTTCTCCCACCTCTAATTCCATCAGGCATTCCTGGGAACCAGCAAGCCACATTGGGCAGGAAAGCAGGACGGTTACTTCCATTTATATTGTAGAGTTTTAAGTTAAACCAGGAAGTTGCTGGTATGAGATCTCTATTTTGTTTTTGTTTTCCTTACATAGGCACTTAGTACTATTAATTTGCATCTTAAAATCACTTTCATCATATCACATAAGTTTGGATATGCTCTGAATTCATTTTTATTCAATTCTAGAGATTCTTTAATTTCTTTATTTCTGTCTTAACCCATTTTTCATTTAGTAGAGAGTTGTTCAGTTGTTTGTAAACATTCTGTAGTTTCTGTTGTTGATGATACCCAGCTTTAATCTATGGTAGTCTAACAGGATGCAGAGAATTATTTCAGTTTTCTTGGATTATTTGAGACTTGTGTTGTATCACAGTATGTGGACAATTTTGGGAAGAGTTCCATGAGTTGCAGAGAAAAGGTATATTCTTTTGCCTTTGAAAGGAATGAAATGTTCTGTAAATATCTGTTACATTAATTTAGTTTATCATCTCTGTTATCTCTAGCATTTCTCTGTTTAGTTTTTGTCTGATAACCTGTCCGTAGATGAGAGGGGTATACTGACATATCCTACCAGGATATAGCATCAATTTTGATTAACGCTGCAGTACTGTTTCTTCCACATTTGCATTTAGGGCAAAGATGTTATGAATTGATAAGGCAGATATTCAAAATGATGGGTATCTAGTTTCATTCCCTATGTATTTTGATTAGTTTTTGTTTGAAGTCTATTTTGATAGATACTTAAACTTTTGCATCAGCTTGAAATTCTTGTAATAATTTTTACAACTCTTTACACTTAGATAATCTCTTTGTTTGACATTGATGTGTCTTTCTCTGAAGCAGTAGAAGGATGGCTCTTGTTTTTATACACATCATGTTAGCTCATGATGGGAAACTGAGATCATTGATACAACTGAGTGTTGATTCCTGTTATTTTGTTGTTTGTTGTGATAGTGATAGTGGTGATGGTAGTGTTTGGTGTGTTTGAAAGTGTGTGTGTTTGTGTGCACATGTGTGTGTGTTTCCCCTTTTCAACTTGGTATACCTTGCTCAGTAATTATTGTCTCTTATATTAAGACTAACTCTTCTGGTTTGAAGATATAGTTAACCCAGGAAAGGTATAAAGCCTTCTCTTCCCATGGTTCTTCCCTCTCATAATAATCTTGTTCAATGGAATACTTTTTTTCTATACCTCAGCTCTGTTGCTGACTCTTCATTTTCAAAATGTACTTTAAGCAACAATGCATACCGTGAGGACTCAAATCCTATATCCAGTTATCTACAGCTCAAGGAATGAGGATATGAGGGAAGCCCAGAAAGATCTCATTATTGAAATTCCTTTTCTGTGATTTTAAAGTGCATTTGAAGCTGGGCTTTATAAAATAAACTAAACATTCTTATTTTAAAAACTTACAGAATTACTAAGTAATACAACATATAAGCATATTTAAACCCATATTTTAAACTTAGATCGGTTTGTTCTAGTCTGCAATATTTTATAAGATTTTCAACATGTAAAATTTTTAGTGTTAGTTATATTGAATCCTACCATTGACTGGGGGTCCAGTCATAATAATTATTTGTTGACGTATTCAAAGATGAAACACTTCAGTACATGAATGAAAAAAATGAAAGGTTCAAGAATATTGTATTCTTACCTTAAGCTCAATTTCTCAATGTTACCATGTTTACAGCCATGTAAATTCAACTTTTATTGAGGACACAAATGGAAAAAATTGCTTAATCAAAAATTTTTCTGTCCTTTTGAGAATTTCATGCAAATCTTTAAAGAAATCCTGAAGGTCGCTGTGATCCCTATACCCAGAAGAATGACAATCCAGGGGCAGCAAGAAAGAAGACAGTTCAGTTCAACACAAATTGTAGCCAGTGTTGAGGCAAACTTTGATAGTATGACCCTTTTTAGGCATATTTAAGCATGGCACAATTTTATTCAGACTTTCTGGTGAGGGTTAACTCAACCTTGTGTACAACAAAGCATACATAAATTTCCTTAGTGAGAAAAAGTAAGATA